CCACAAAGAGCATCCGCACATAGTTTCCTTTCCTCTGTTCCAGGTGGGAGATGGCAGTGTGTAGGGTATGGTTGATGGCATCATCTGTGGACCTGTTGGACTGGTATGCAAACTGTAATGTGTCTAGGCAGCAGGGAGGAGCAGATGTAGTCTCTGACCAGCATCTCAAAGCACTTCATCACTATAGAAGTGAGTGCTACAGGACAATAATCATCCAGGGAGGTAGGACGGGGGGTTTGGGGGACAGAAATAATGGTGGAGGACTTAAAAGATGTGGGGACAACACTCTGGTTGAGGGAGAGGTTAAAAATGGTGTTAAAGACTGGTGCTAGTTGGTTAGCATGGACTTTTAGTACAAGTCTGGGAATATTGTCTGGACTGCATGCTTTTCTGGTGTTAACTTTGTGTAGCACCTTCCTCACACCCAGTTCTGAAATGATGAATCTTTCCTCTTCTCCACCTGATGGTTCATACTCAAGGTTCAAATACTTGGTCTGTGCTGGTGCTGGTCACCTCAAACAGTTAATAGGAGATATTCAATTTATTGTAGTCTGTAACAGTTTGCATGCTCTGCCACAGACACCTGGAATCTGCCTGCTCAAACTGGGTCTCAGTCTTGTCCCTGTATTTCCTTTTGGCTTCCCTCACCATTTTCCTCTGGTTGTAGGAAGCCTCTTTGTATTCGTCCATGTTGCCTGTCTGCAGGCCTGCACTGTAGGCAGCTGTGCACACGTTCAGAGCTTTCCGCATGGATTGATCTACCCATGGCTTCTGATTGGGAAAAACCTTTACAGAATGTGTGGGTATAGTCTCTCCTAACAGAAACTCTATATAACCGAGCACTGCTGCCGTAAACTTGTAAGCTGCGCTGGAACATCTCCCAGTCTGCGTTCCTCCAGCGCGTCTTGTAGCATGGATTGTTCAGTCCAGCGCCACACCTCCTGTGCTACCGGGCCTTCCCTCTGCAGCCTTTGTTTATACACTGGAAGTAGTAAATTGGCGGCATGGTCTGACTTACCAAGTGGGAGTGTTTTTATTGCCTTATAGCAGTCTCTGTATTGTATGTAACAGTGATCCAGCATCCTTTCTCTCCTTGTACTGCAGGCCATGTGCTGATAGAAATCCGGCATGACTTTTTCCAAGTTAGCCTTGTTGAAGTCACTGATAATCATGAGCGCTACGTTCGGGTGCAATGTTTGTAGTAGTCCAGTGTCCCTGTGTAGTGTCGATAAAGCAGTGTCTGTGTGGGCCTGAGGTGGAATATAAACAGTCACGATGATGGTGGAGGTGAATTCTCGGGGTAGATAAAAGGGACGGCATTTGACCGCAAGGTATTCCAGGTCCGGTGTGCATAATTCCATAAGATGATGGGTGCTCCCTGTGCTGCACCATTTGTCATTGATCATAACACACACTCCACCACCCCAGATTTTCCCTGAGAGGTTCATCCTGTCAATGCGGTGAAGGGAGAACGCAGGCAGCTGTACAGTGTGGTCTGGAATGGTTGGCATGAGCCATGTCTTGGTGAGGCAAAGATCGTTGATTTGAAACTGATCAATCAAGGTTTACATTAGGTATTCTTTTTATCAGTAAATTTATGCTTACACTGAGGAGCACAAGTAGGATACAAATGTTTTTGCAAAATTATGGAATTTTCATGAATACGAAATCTTGCTTGGACAAATAATTTAAGAATAAATACATTTGTATCCAGCTTGATAAATGTGACCAAGTTGCCTTTTGGCTAACTGTAGTGGTTGACTACTGAGTGATACTGGATTCTTCTCTATATATTTTTTACTACCAGTTGCTCATCCACAGCCCAGAGCCAAGGAACATTTCTCTTTAGAACTAGAGCAAATATGCATATCATTAGTCACTTTAACAAGCCAGGGGCCCTTAGGAGAACAGCAGAGAGGGTGAACATGCAGAAATCCTAATGTAGAAAGGCAGGAGGACAATGAGAAATGGAAATGCAGAGCTTTGCATGTCCTAACCAGGAGAGAGAGCAGTAATACCTGGCTGGAGTTGGAAGTACAACTGAGATATAATCCCCTCAAACAGGAAAGGCAAGGCCAATGTTTTTGCTATACACTGAAGACAATTGGGATTGAGATCAAAAGCTGAAGACAATAGATCAGAATTTCAAATTTCATTTCCTGATATTTACATCTAAGTGTGTTAAACAATTTGAACATGGCACCTTTTATTTTAACCTGCCCATTTTTCAAGTGATCAAAAATATTAGAACATGTGACTGACAGGTGTTTCTTGTTGTCCAGGTGTGCCCTCTTATATATTGATTGTTTAAACAATTAATAGCTCTGAATGTCTACTCTTGGTTTGGGCCCTGGGTTTTGCCTGTGAAGATTGTATTTGTTGTGTGAGGAGATGGCAAATGTGGGGAACATGCTCTTTTATTTCTTTTAGAGTGAGGGAAGTGAGGTGGAGGTGAGGGAGCATGAGTCACTCAGACGGCGTGGAGGTCGGCGTGCAGAGGCAGAGGCTCTTCTTCTCCGCTCACGGCAGCTTCTGGTGAAAACACAGAAACACACGTTAGTACGGTCATTAACCTCACCTATCTTTTCGAGAGAGCGGCCGCTGGCTCCTTGTATAGCTCCCCGTCTTCTCCCGGAGGGTGAATTGGAGCCGCGCCACTCTTTGGCCACCAGACGTGCGGCGTTTCATCACTCCACCCCACAGCCACAGCACTCCGGCTGTCCAAAACAAAGGGGGTGCTGAAATGGTGCTGTCCTTTCAGCACCGCGCTGTCAGTCGTGCGAGGAGCGTTGAATGTTTTCCGTGTGCGGGTTGTCTGCCCGCCGAGAGCAGGAATAAGACTTGAATAGGACTTAGAGAGCAGGAATATAGAGGCCATAACATAAGATGCAAATCACTCATCAGCAGTAAAAATTGGAAGGCCAGGTTGAAATTTGCAATGAAAGCTCTACTGATGATATAATTCATCATGGTAGTAGCAGAATGAATTCAGCAAACCCCCAAAACAAACAACAACTGAACGAACCTGCAGTACAAGCCTTGAAAAACATCACAAATGAAGAATGCAACAATTTGGTGATGTCAGTTGGTCATCAGCTTGATGCAGTTTTTGGAAGCAAATATGCAACCAAATATTAAGTGTTATTTACTTTAAAACTGTTCCAGTAGTTTTGCTCACCTAAAAATTGGGTGGTCTGCCACCAAAGGTGCCATGTTCTAAGTTGTTTAACACATCTAGCTGTAAATATCAGGAAAAGAAGGCTGATGTTCTGATCTATCATCTCATATTCATCTTTTGATCTCAAATCCAAATGTCTTCAGTGTTTACCAAAAAAAAAAAGAACTGGTCTTGTTGTTCTGTATCTTTGTAGATTCTGTAGACTGTATCCTTGTCCTTGTATCCCTGTATCCTGGTCCTTGAGTTATGTTTAATGTTTTAATATTTTGGTTAGTCAGTACTAACTAATTTGACAACAGTGTCGCACAAATAAAATACGTAACAAAACTAAGTTTATGCACCATAAATGAAAGCCTACTTTATTAATTTTTGGACAGATTAGGTAACCCAGTGTTTGTTTAGGGAATATAAACATTAACAATTATGTTTTACATTCTAATTCACTGGGCAAGATTGTACCAATATTGAAGGTCAGTCATGTTTTACCGCTAAGAACAATTGCTTTGTAATAATTGCTTTTAATATTAGTATTTTTTTCCTCATAGTTTCACTGTTTTTTTTTACTCTACGTGCCATTTAGAATATAATATACTTGTTCCGTCTTTCCAAACAAATGGAATTTCTGTTTTAAATGGTTGATTATGCTTATGTCTATTGTTCACCATGTACAAATACTGTCTATCGGCATCTATTTGCTCTTTAATATGCTTTTAAATTATGATTCCTCTATTAAATTTACCTCCTGAGAAACAGCTCACTAATTAACTATGCAGCACATTCCACAGACATGTAACATTATATTCAATTGTAGAAACATTGTAAATCTATCCTGATTAGTTTAAAGAGTTGTAACACACAGGCGAGAGTGAGAGCGTGAACTCCTCCTAAAGAGACAATGTCCCTATGAAGTGACATCAAGCATTACCCTGACAAAATGCAATTTAATGACCCTGGAATTAGTATTAACTATTTTACAACTTTGAAAAGTTTTATTATTAAGCCTATAATGTTTATTTATTGATTCAACCCATTGAGCTTAATATTAGTTCTCCATAATTAAAATGGGCTACACATTTCTGATCCATTCTTTGTCATTTTAGGAAACACCACTGAAATCATAATTGCAAATTAACCTTTAAAACCAAACTATAGTGCGTTTCCATTAATATTATGTAAATATACTAATGGGGAACAATGAATACTGCATTGTTGGATCGAGACCATGTGGAGGTTGTATTTGCTTGGCCTGAATGTGTTTGTGTGCTGGTACCATGGTTACCCGAGGACGGCCATCTAAAACACTTTGAATAAAGGCAACTGCCACATTTGTAAAAGGTTGTATAAATTTAAGTCTCCTTAGAGATGCAGAGAGATCATGTCACTATGAAAGTCAGCAGCACAATCCAAGCAGGAAATAAATGGGTGTGGACTCATTATTGATTCCTTTTCTATGAGACTTCAAGCTGTAATTAAAGCACAGGTAGAGCTTGTTGGTCTTGTCTCATAAATTAGCCATGCTCCTCCAGCAAACACCTCCACCTTTCCCTCACAAACAACAAGTATGCTGCCCCTCAAAGTCTATAATTCCTCTCTTCTTCTATATTTTCTAACATTTGTGCTAGAAAATATATTTTGAGACTTGAAATTGAGACATTCAAGGAAGTATTGGAAGTTGTTGTTCTTCTTTTGGTCACCACAGTGGATCAAATGGTCTGCATATTGGATTTGGCACAGTTTTTATGCCCTTTCTGATGCAACCCTCCCCAATTTAATCCGGGCTTGGTACCAGCACAGGGAGTGCACTGTTGTGTGCTGGGGTTGGTTCCCTGGCTGGGACTCGAACCCAGGACGCAGCAGTGAGAGCGCCGTGCCCTAACCACTAGCCCTCCAGAGACCTCAAGGAAGTATTGAATGTATTTCCCATATGTGTGTGCAAAGATGGTGCCAAAATGAAATAAAATAAGACCATTTGTATTTTAATTTTCATGCAACATTAGTGTCAAAAATATTCTTATTCAAAAAATCAAAACATTAAAGTGGATAAATACAATCAAAATCAACTGCAAAGTGAAAAAGAGGAAACTCAGCAGTTGGTGATGGCCATGGGTTCCAGACTTCAGGCAGTCATTGACTGCAAAGGATTTGCATCCAAGTATTAAAAATAATCTTAATATTTATGATTATGTTAGTTTGACCAATTACATTTGAGCCTGTGAAAATGGACAGACTATGTAAAAAATGGCTGTAATTCCTAAACGGTTACTGCAATATTTTTGTTAAACCCCTTGAATTAAAGCTGAAAGTCTACACTTCAATAATATCTTGATTGCTTCATTTCAAATCCATTGTGGTGGTGTACTGTAACAGTTACCTCCTGTCACAAGGTTTATTTTATATTCTGTATGCTATGTTCATCCCGACCACTAGCTGGCACCAGTAGCCTCACCTTTTTTCTGTATAAGACAGGAAGCAGTAGAGTTAGAGAGAGATTCAGTTTGAATCCCTCATGGCTTCTCTTTGTTGTCCAAACAATGCTGGTCTGAGAAACATTTTGTTTGCTGCTCAACCAGGATTTTCCATTTGTTCCAATTCATGCTGATGTTGCATGCTAACAACTATGAGGAGTGGAAGCACAACTTTGGTGTTCCTTTGAGTGCGTTATCGCAATTGCCCAAGGACTATACCCAAAGATTCCCGGCCTACCTCATCAAGGATATCTACGTTACATCTATCGTCTCGTCAACAGATAAAGCTGTTAATCTGCTCATGAACTGCACTAATTTACAAAACTGGCTCAAATTGTCATCAACGTTGTTGGACGTTCCGTAAACAGAACCCCGCGCATTCATTCCGGACATTGTGCATTTTTTTTTGTGATTGCTTGCTGTGTGAATTTGTTTGTGTATTTGTGAAGCATTTAAAATAGTGTTAGTGAATATATGGTGACTTTGGAAAAGGGATATCCACTGCATTTGTTTTTTTTTTTTTTTCTTTTTTTTTTTTTGCATTTATCAGAACTTTGTTTCACTGTAACCAATAGAACCAATTTGCAAAACTGATCCCCCCTTTTTTCTCCTATAGCAGGCCCAGTTTAAAACAGTCAGGATGGTTATAGATTGGTGCCTGAACAAAATGTATGTTGTAATTCTGTGGTCTTATGTCTGTTTATTACTTGTTGTCTGTTGTGTTTCAGTCATTTCAGTCATATCACATGGTGCGGAGGATGAGTGTGAACCCAATCCTGATTTCACTGCCGGCTCTTTTGTTACCAGAAGAGATCCACGGCCTGTGCAAGAACTCATCCATACTTTCAGTGAATTATATATCAATTCTGACGAAGATAACGATTCTAACATTCCTCTTGATGACCCACTTCCTCCTCCTCCTGATGTAGTTTTTGATAATCACCCTTCAACACAGTTAATGGATTCATGGATCAGCCGCATCTCAGCTTTGGAAGGTGAAGTTCAAGCCTGCACCCAAAAGGTGAGTCAATGTTGTTCACACTCTGACCTTATGGACCAGTGCCGGTTGTTGGAGGAACAGTTGACCTATAAGATTGAAAGGGAGTGTGAGAGTGTTCAAAATGTTCTTGAGCTGAGTATTTGTGATTTGGGGAAGTCAGTGGTGGATTGTTTGAAGAGGAGAGATGCACAAATTGACAATAAGCTTAAGTCATATGCTCATGTCATGTCTACCCCAGTTTCTCATCCTTTGCTCACCCCTGCCTTGTCAAAAAACTCCAATCGACCATGTACTGAACAACCTCATCAATGTACTCCCAACCTTCCTGATACTGCAACGACTGCTCCATATCGTCCTCTGGTAAGGGTGGAGTTCCCACAATTTGGTTCAGACGAAGACAATGATCCTACTACTTTTGTTGAACGTTGTGAAGAGTATTTTGCATTCAGACCACTAACTGACTCAGAAATACTAGCTTCTCTCACTTCAGTGTTACAGGGGACAGCTAAAGACTGGTGGTTAGTGGAGAGGAGACACATTTTCACTTGGGTCCAGTTCAAACGAGATTTCCTGCATGCCTTCTTGTCTGACGATTATGAAGCCGAAGCTGCCAAGCGTTTGCTGGAAAGAAAACAAGGTCCAAAAGAATCAATTCGAGATTTTGCATACCATTATCTTGCTTTGTGTTTAAGATGGAAGAAAGAGATGTCTGAGAAGGAGATCGTACAATCAATTCTGAGAAACTGCAACCCTTGACTCGCAAGTTTGTTAAGGGGCACTGTAAAAGAGGTGAGCGAATTAGTAAGAGTTGAGAGAGATTTTGAAGAAGCTAAGAAGTATTGGAGTCAGGCCAATGCTGAAATGCAGAAGCGCAGAAACCAAACCGACAGAGACACCCATCCCAAGGCCAATCCTTTGCACACCCGTATTCTACAGTCTGTTCCTAATTCCAATTTGTTCAACTTAAAGATTCTCATTCTGCCAATGTTGATCCATGGGAGATCTTTTCAAGCCATGATTGATACAGGTAGCTCACTGACTCTAATACAAGAATCCTGTTGGAGACAGTTGAGACACAAAGAACAACTGAGTTCCAGTCATGGTCAGACCTTCAAGAAAGCTAATAGCCAAGTGTTATCTGCTTTGGGGGTGTGGAATTGTGAATGAGACGTGCAAGGAAGGAGGCATGATTTGACTTTGTATGTTATGAAGGATGAAGATCTCACTGTACCCATCATCCTTGGTATGGATTTTCTGATGTCTACCGGAATCAATTTGGATTTTCATAAAGCTCAGTATACCTTGCCTGCCTCAAACCACTGCCAAGAAGAAATATTCCTGTTCATGCCTTTCAATTCTTCCAATGCACTGCTGTCTTTCTACCTTACCTTACCCTTACCAGAAGGGTCGCCTGAAACGCAGACATTTGTGCATCAACTGGTCACCACTGCAAACACGTCTCCAGAATATCAGTCCCGACTTAAACATCTGCTGAGAGAATGGCCTACCGTTTGCACCAGTGAAATTGGACACACGGATGTAGTCAAACACCGCATCATTACAACCAGTGAAGTACCCATCCATAAGAAACCATACCGAGTATCAACTGAGAAACAACAATTCATCAAACAAGAAATCAAGGTAATGCTGGACAAAAAGATCATCAGACCCTCACTTTCTCCATGGGCAGCACCGGTGGTCCTGGTACTGAAGAAGGGAGGTGGGCAGCGATTCTGTGTTGATTTCAGAGGTTTAAACTCAAAGACGTACTTGGACGGTTATCCCATGCCTCAAATACATGAGATCCTTGAGTCTCTGCACGGAGCTGCTATTTTCAGTACCCTCGATCTCAAAAGCGGGTATTGGCAAGTTGAAATGGAGCCAGAGAGTATTCCCAAAACTGCTTTCACTACATCATCAGGGCTATATGAATTTCTCCGTCTACCCTTCGGCCTTAAAAACGCCACAGCCACGTTCCAGCGATTGATGGAGTTGGTGCTGAAGGACGTAAGGGGTAAGAGTTGTTTCATATACATTGACGATGTGGTAGTTTACTCCAAGTCTGAGGAAGAACATCTAGTCCACCTAAGAGCAGTCTTCCAGTGTCTAAGCTGAGCGGGTCTCACCCTGAACCTCCAAAAGTGCAACTTGATGCAGAAATCTCTGAAGTTTTTAGGATATGTAATCTCAGCAGAAGGGATCAAAACTGACCCTGCTAAAGTTGAAGCTGTTGCAAACTTTCCTGTTCCTAAGTCTCTGAATGAAGTGCAATGTTTCTTAGGTCTAGCAGGATGGTACCACAGATTCATCCATCAGTTTTCAGAGAAAGCTGCCCCACTGCATGCCTTGAAAAGGAAAGGAGCTACCTGGACATGGACTGAGGAATGTCAGAGTTTTTTTTTTTAATTGATCAAGCGTGAATTGACCAGTGCCCCCGTTTTAATGGCCCCAGATTTGTCAAAGTCTTTTAGAGTCCAAACAGACGCTAGTGATATTGGTCTGGGAGCAGTCCTGACCCAAGATATAGACGGTGTGGAACATGTCATCGCTTACGCCTCACGTCTGTTACAAGGAGCTGAGAAATTGTATTCGGTCTCCGAGAAGGAGTGTTGTGCGGTGATATGGGCAATTGAAAAATGGAGACCATATTTGGAAGGACGACCGTTTGAGGTGATCACTGATCACGCAGCTCTAACCTGGGTATTTAATCACCCAAAACCATCTTCACGTCTGATCCGATGGTCCATTCACCTGCAAGAGTTTGATTTCACCGTCAAGTATCGTAAGGGTCAATGCAACATTGTGCCAGATACCCTCTTGCGCAGTTTCCCAGATACCTCGCCACTCACTATGCTATCACAGGTAAAATCCCAGGACTCATCAACCACTTTCTCTTCATTTCCTGTTGAATGGTCCGACATTGCAAAAGCCCAACAGGAAGACACAGAAATTCAAGAGCTCATCACAAAAGCCAAAACATCCATTGACCCAGATCCCACTCGCATTCATTACCTGTTGAAAAATGGATTTCGATTCCGCAGCATGCCGCAAGGACCGAAAGGGCCCAAACTTCAACTAGTCATTCCCACCTGCTTAAGACAAGATTTCCTCAACTATGCACACAATAACCCTCTAAGTGGACATCTTGGCAGACTCAAAACTCTGTTAAGACTTGTAGACGTTTACTATTGGCCTACTCTACGCTCAGACGTGTGGAAGCATTGTAAGGAGTGTCAGGTATGTCAGCAGCACAAACCATCCATTTCAAAACTAGCCGGCCATATGCAGTCTACGCCAGTAGTGGAACCCGGACATATGCTGGGAGTTGACCTCATGGGACCATTTCCCAAAAGTCCAAAACAGAATGAACATCTTCTGGTAATTGTGGACTATTGTTCAAAGTGGATGGAGTTGTTTCCTTTGCGTGTC